TTTTTCTATAATTTTTCTTAAATATATGTTTTTTAATTTGTTAGATGTATTCACATTTTTTTCACTCATTATGCATAATAGTTTTTTCTTTCTTCTATGATATCCAAAAAAAAAATACTATGAAAATAAAAATCTCTCTTATTTTTTATAATTTTATTTTATTTTTTTCTTTCAAAATTTAGATATATTTATTTTTTTCACTTATTATAGTGATATTTTTTTCTAAACTAAAATAGGAAAATCCCATTTTTATATATAAAATATATTTTCTAATGCGAAACAAACATTTAAAGAGTCAAAAGTGTACGTTTAGAAAAAACGTTTATAATAAAAAAATAATTTTCTTTTGGTACCTTATGTTAAAAACGATTTTAAGATATTCCAATAATAAAAATATCATATTATACATAGTAGTCGTTTATTATAATTAATATATTGAAATGTTTAAATACTTTTGGTTTGATCCTCTTATGTTTTATTGTATTTTTATTATATATTTTTCTTTGATTTTTATAATTTTGTGTGATATTTAGATTTTGAAGAGTTAATTTAGTAGATAACTTAATTTCCTAGTTACTTTTACATTTCATTTTTTATACAAAAAATTACATAAATAGTTTGAGAATTATATATACTTTGATTTATTTACTCAACAAAACAATTTATTTTAAGATAATTGTTTTCGCATTTAAGTAGATTGATCCAAAACAATATTATTTTAATAAACCGATTAAATATCTAGAAAATAGTTGAAATGGGAAAGTTAGAGTCTTTCCCAATCACAATGATAAGTTATTGTTTTGAACTTGTCTCTTGAGACATTTTTTAACATGTTCCATATTTTTTCAGCCTGAAATTAAATAAATGAAAAGTTAGAAGTTCGTTCATTATTTTTATTTTTATCTTTATAAAAGTGTTTATAGTAAAAATAAAAATGCTGAACTGAAATTAGAAATATGAAGCAAAAATTCAAGAAATTAAATTGAAAGCAATGGTTTAGACATGTAAAATATAACTTTGAAGGTGGAGGAGAATTTTGATTAGAGTTATCAAAAATTTAGTTGGACTATCTTTATAAAAAAAAAAAAAAGAGTTGATGTATTAATTTTGATTTAATTAAAAATTTAAAAAATTATTAACATATTTATATAAAATAATTAATTTAAAAAATATTTAAATAAAATTAAAAATATTTTTTAAAATTTGAAATTATATTAACAAAATAAATTTTATTTTAAATATAATAATTTAATATATAAATTATAAGAAAATATATTCATTTACTTCTAATATAAAAATTAAAAATTATTTTTTATTATCTATATTCAATTTATACCGTTGAATAAATAAATATTAAATACTTTTTTATATTTATTTTTAAAATATGTAAATTTTAATCAAATTAAATTATAATACATATATATTTTAAATTTAAAAAATTAATAATATCATTATTATTATTATTATTATTATATAAAAGAAGTTCATATTAAATTAAAATTAAAACAGATTAAATTAAGTTTAGAATACAAATTTTGTAACCTTTCCCACTCATCGATAAACCTATTTTTACATATACTATAAATTATTCCCACTTTATTATTATTTTTAATTACTTTCAATTTATATGTTTTCTTTAGATGTGTACATTTAATTGGAAGATATGATTGTAGTGGCTTTGGGAATTGTCTCACTCATCCAGCAGGTAGGAATCTTACGCGTTGATTATGTCATAACTGAGTGTTAAAAAACGTGTGTAGGATTTCTCGTTGTGTTTTGTACACCTCTACGCACAATCACGCAAGGTTCGCTTTTTCATTTGTCATAATTTTTTTATAGAAAAATATTATTTTTATCTATCGTAAATTTATCATCAAAATTAGAATCAAAGAAGTAAATTAGGGTTTTGATTCGTTAAAATATCATTCAATTAAAAATTAACCACCAGAGCTAAACTTTTAAAACCAAAATAAATTTGATTATAATACTCTAATACCGTTATTCGGAATGAAATAATAAATATCTAAATATTTTAACCAAATCAACCAAGGTAAACAACGAGTATGCAAAGAACTTACATAAATTAAAATTCACCAAAACGAATAAATTATGAACAGCCTTAAAAGTACGCGTGGGACACTTGGTTTAAAGCACCCTAATATAACAAAAGAATATTAAATTTTTTAGCTATATTATTTTTATTATTATTTATAAAGTGCAATACTATTTTATTTTTCTCTTTTCCTGTATCTCCCTACTGTATATGCAATAATTGGTGCGTAGAAGGAAGGGCTAACAATGATGCACCATAAAATGTTGTACAATTACGACGTCGTTTTGTGCATTTATTTTTTGGGGATTGGCTTACCTTGCACTGTCCCTTCATAACCACATGTCAAAGCCCACGTATGACGTTTGCACCCACTCCACAACTTTTTTTTTTTCCTAAATCTTTTTGCAAAATTTGATCTCATCAAATTTATTATTTCTTTTATTCCAAATTAAAATTATGATATTTTATAGATTTTTTTATGAGTAAATAGCTGACACTATAACAGAGTTTTATAGTTTTATTTATGATTAAATTATTATGTATAATAAACTGTTGATTTTAATATTTATGTAAAAAATCTTATATTGTTTATTATTTATAATTTATTAATAAATTAAAATAATGATCTCTATAGAGAGAAATTAAGTTTTAAATTATAAATTATTTAAAATTTAATAAAACAATTTTAACATTTTACTCTTAATAAAACTCAAAATTAAAAACGAGGACACATTTATCTTATTTATTAAGAACTTGATAACATAACTTTAAAGAATTATTAGAAATGAGTATGAAAATAAAGGAGAATAGGAAAGACAATAAGGAGAAAGAAAGGTGAAACATTATTATTAGATAAGAAAGTTAGAGATAAAGAGATTAAAGTTATTCCAATAAATAATAAAATAAAAAGTAAATGCTCACTTTTTGTTTATGAAATTACAGGTAATGTTCATGCAAGGGCTTGAAATTTGTAAAATATGACGTTAATCTATACAATTGTAGTACGTGGATCACTTTTATCCATCATGTTAATGATTATAAATGTTAAAATTGGATTCATCATAATTTATATAAGAAAGACTTTATTAAAAAAAAAAAAATTTGTCTAAGTGATATTCTAATTTATTTGAAAGATTGAACTTTTTCTCAGTATCATCTATGTTTTGATAAAAATAATTAAAAATAGTTTTTTTATGATATATTTATAAAAGTAAATTTAACTTAATTCAATCATATAAATAATATAATTTAAACTTATTGTAGTGGATACAAGATTTTCCATCTCTCTTTCATACTTAAAATTCGATATCTAAAAAGAATAAAAATAGATATTTATAAATAATATAATAATAAATTTATAAGAAGTTTGTTATGTTAGATTTTAATATTATATTAAAATTTATATGTGAAATTAATTTAATTTTAATAAAATTAATTTATAAAATAATAATTTTATAATTTATATACTATAATGTAATTATTTGACCTTTGTCCTTTTTAGCGTTTATGTATTAAGGGGTGTTTGCGTGTCTTGTTGTTCATCCATGCATCTCAACCACCAAAGTCATAAATGTCTACCATTCCCATGTGATTTAATCTGAAATCATTTTTTTGTTTTGTTCTGTGAAAGAAGGTGTCTTAAGAGGGAAGTGGAAGTGAACGAGGCATAAGGAGAAGATAGATTGCACGAAGAAGAATGAAAGAAAGAGGGGTGTGTTGTACCCTCGATTAGTTACTTTAAGTCGGAGACAATATATATTTTAAAGATCTTATTAATAAAATAAAATATATATAATTATTTTTTTAAAGATGATATAATGAAACAAATTTTAAAACATACTCATAATTTAAAATCAAGATTTAAAACCTTTAAAGAAACAAACTTATGACAGGAAAGTAGGTCAATTGTATTTTTTATAATTGCTACACAAATTAAGAAACATTTAATCAATATAATTAGTTAAAAATGATTTACTTTTCACTTTTTGTTAATCTCTTTTCAGTATAACCAGTATTGTTTTTATTATTAACTATATATGAACGTGTTATTGATAAGAATAGTTTAAAAAAATAATAAGATTATTTAAAAATAAAAGCCGAAAGGATTGTTTTAGAAGGGAGGGAGTGTTTTTGTGTGCACAACACAAAAACTGCAACAAAATTAAAAAATGGAAAGAGTTGCAGATTTAAAAATATTTAAATATGTTTTTAATTATGGTAAATATAACTATGTCCGCTTTTAAATTTTTGCAAAAAAATATTTTAATTTTAAATTTATAACATCTGCAGAATAAAGACAGAATATAAAATTTGTTGGAATTTTAAAATATTTAAATTTGTTAAATACTCCATTTTAAAAGGTTTAAATTAATTAAAAACACACTGATATAGAACATCTTAAAACAATTATTTTTTGTAAAGTATATATTTCAGTCATTTATCTTACTCTAGAATATTTTATATTTAAATTTTAATAACTTTATATCATATTAATTTTTCCTTTTTGTGTGTAGATGGTTGATTATTAATTAGTTATTTATGCTAATTTACTACTTTTAGCTTTTATTTTAATCTAGTTAATAATTTTACTTTGCATTTGAAATAAACATTTATTATAACAGATATTATTGTAATTTATTAAAATTGAACCTAAGTATTACTATCTATTGACATAGATTTTTATATTTAATATAAATGTTAAAAGTCTATTAAATAATGTTTTTATTTAATATTGTAATGTTATAAAGTTTTAATAAACTTGATACAGTTTACTTCTGGTCAGGATTATTGACATAATTATTTATCTACGAAAAAATTGAAAAATAATTATAAGTATATAACTACGATGACAATTTTATTGATGTACCGTCCATAAACTTTATTACCGTCTTTAAATTAAAAGTAAAATAACTAATTTTGTCCGGTATCAGTTCAGTGAGAAAATGTTTCAGAGTCTAGCATTTCGAAGTTGTTGCTTTAGCATTGGTCGAATATATTCTTGAAAACCATCTGGCACAACTGAATCATTCAATGGATCCTTCCATGCCTCCTCGTACAGCTTCGGATACACATCTCCATCATAGCGGCCAAGAACCGAACCAAGGAAGTGATCAGTGTAGTTAAACGCATCAACAAGTCCAATTGCATTGGGACGAACCTAACAAAACATACATAATCAATCAGTTTCATAAAATAAAAAGTTACCACCAATGTGTTGCAATTGTATAGGACAAACCTGTGAATACAAGGACCTTAGCAGATCATTTGCAAGGGATCCTTGTTTGGGAGTGATGCAGCCAGTTGAAAGAAAATCACCCAAATGCTTATGAAGAAGAGACAAAGCATAAATGCTACAAAGAAGTTCTAATTGATGTTTCACTCCCTTCCCTGGTATATCTTGCTGCAACTTCTCAATAAATCTGAAATGCACAGGGTTGGTCAACTTCAATGTAGAATATCCAAGAAAATACTAGCATAAACTGTGTGTATACCATTGATTTGTATATTTTCTCTGGATTCTACCACTAAGGGCTATTCACCCAAAAAGACAATTTATCACATTACACAGACGAACGACAGATGTTATGTGGGACCAGTAAAAAATGAGAAGAAGCTCACTTGGAAACAACAATTAATTGGCAATGGGCAACAGCTGCCTCAACTAGATCGACCGAGAGTTCTTGGAAACCTGGCATCAAAAGAACCATCAGGATTTATGATGATAATTTCTAATTACAACATACACATGCACTCAAACATAGTAAGATGAATCGGTCAGGGTAACGACTACCCAGCCGATGCTGTGGTTCAACAGCATATAGCTTGTGAGTTTAAGCGTTAAATCATTTTACCTTCTTCAGGATTGGTAAACTTGCTAAGATTTTTAGCACAAGTAACTAATTTCTTAGCAGCCCTAGCTTCAAATGCTCCTAGCACTGCATTAGGCTTCAACCAATCCTCCGCTACAAAAATCAAAATAACCATACAATTAACTTCTGAATTCTACAACGCATCACGAGTGTTACGTATAAATTACGTAATATTAGACAATCCACTGATAGTTTAGTAGTGTTGGTACGAATTGCAATAATTATTATTATGAAGATAAACAATCCTAAATAAAGATTACTAGGAATTGATTCTACCATATATATATATATATATATATGCTACCATAAATATATAAGATATTCTTGTTAAGGGGAGATAAAACACGAAAGGTTCCATCAACGAACCATGAGCAAATCACATGAATGAATTTAACGTTAACGTATCTGTATACCAGAAATTATATTCCCATTAATATTATGCATAGGGATATTATTTTCATCATAAGCTTATATGGTTGCCATTTAGTAATTTCAGAAAAAGTATTTAATAATAATAAAAAATTAATGTGAAGGAAGAATTGTGGAAATAGGTCATTATTGTAGAAAATAACTTCTATTTCCATGAAAAATACGTGATACCCTCGTTCTCCTTGAAAATGAGAAGCAATACAACTGTGAGTAATTGATATTCTTCGGAATCAACAATTCCTGGGAATGTTTTTACTAAAAAATGTACCAAATATGGGAATGCGATATATTACCAAATTTACTATCATAGGTTACCCTCCTGATAACGTGAAACAAACACTACAACGGGCACTAGGTTTATGAGTTTTTCAGGCTTAAATGTTCCTTAACTTGCCTATTTCTTCACCCCATCAATTGCAGTTGGGAAGCTAGTAGCCAATGTCTTGCATAGGGCTTACCTTTGAAGGGGTTAACTAGCCAGGTTGAGTGAAGTATCATAGTGTGCAATCATCGTATCAGAGACTTTCAGCCCATTGAAATTTCACTTCAACTAAATATATGACTAATGTAGTCCTTATAAAGCTTGGGTAATACTCACATTTTTACAAGCCCAAAAGCTAGCTCAAGCGGCGAGGGTTCCCTTTCCCTCATCACTTCTATGCATTATTTTGGCATATATCACTAGTCTCCAGCAGAATCAATGGGAGCAGTACCAGAGAAACCTGATACACCAAATTTGTTATCAGAGAATCAACGGGAGAAGATCACCACAAATCAGAGCCATATATGGAGTGTGTAAAAAAAGGATGGGTAAGATATGAGCACGCTGACACATAATGAACTGTCCTACGAATACTAAAACCATGGGATCTAATCCCATAACCGTGATATGGCCAAGATAGTAGCTGAAAGGGCATCAGATGTCTTGTGCAAGTGGTTTCCCTTGAGTCTGGCAGAGCAGTGCCAGCAAAGTGTTTACACTCCCTTAATAACTAGCAAAAGCGTTTGAGTATGGCATCAAGTGTTCATGCCAGCCAGCCTTCCAGGTAACACATGGAGAAGCAGAGACAGCAAAACTTAAGGGTTTGGGTAGTCAGGATTGAGCACTTCAGATCTCAGGAATTCAAGACAAGATCTCAAGTTTTTGAGGTCATTAGGTAATAAATGTTGTAAACATTGTGGAAATTGTTGTGGCAGGTAGGATCACCAATATTGTGGAAGAATTTACTGATCTGCAGTAAGCGGCTGGGCACGGTAGATTTAGAGTTTAATTAGGAGAAACAGGTTGAACTCCACCCTAATACCAATTTGAGAATCCTTGAAGTGCGAACAACTTCATCAAGGATAATACTATATCTAGATAGTCCAAACACAGTGTGCATAGATATTAGATGAGTTTCACTAATTATATGATTCAATCCCAATTATCGAGTAGTAAAAAAAAGGGCATCGTGCCTACCTATTTTATTAAAAGAGAGAATAACAAATTCTTCTTATACCAGTTATGTTCACAGGTAGTTTTTCTTTTCTATTTTCAAGTTTTGTGCAGTAATCTGATGTACATGTAGTTAGTAGGGGTAAAATGGGTAAGAAAAATGTGGACACCAAATGGAGTTATCTCCTTTATTAGATGTTGAAAGAAGAGAGAATAACAAATTCTTCTTGTACTAGTTTGTGTTTACAAGTATGCTTTTTTTCTAAAATGTTATGTTGAGTTATTTGAGTGTACATGCAGTTATAAGAGATAAATAGGACTTTTAAGAATGTAGAAACCAGTGGAGTTATCCCCTTTATTATTACGTATAGAAGTATAGATATACAACACCTACATTAGTTACTAAGATTTCCATTATAACATGTATACTACCATAGTACCATATATCTACGATATTTTAACACATTATAACTCCTGAAAAAGGCATATAAATAATATTATCTAAATTGTCTTAAGATTTGGGATATTAAAAGATTGAAAAGGTTAGAATTTGCATACTCTCAACCAAATCCAATTTCATTATACAGTTATACCTTTCTGAACATCAGAATGATATTGCATCAGCTGTTCCACTCGTCCAATATAAGATGTTGTACCAACAGGTTTTTTTCCAGAGCCCAACTGAGAAATTGTCTTGATGAGATGCCTTGCCACCTACAATGGATTTGCTAGAAGTTATCAAACAACTCAAGACCATTCTCAATTAATAATCTCTGATAAACCTCACTAATGAAACTGCACTAGGATGGATTAAGCAAATAAATGTCAAGGGGGCACATGAGAATACTTGCACAAAGCATGAAGATACAGCAATAACAGAGACAGAGTATATAAAAACAACAATTGCTGATTAGTTTTATTATTTCAGTCCTTTGCATCTTTCACTCGTTCCAAATACTATAGATTTGATACCCCTAAAATCATAAACTAAAAGAAACGGATCAATATAATAGTATTTTTTTAAAAATATAAAAAACTACTAAGGTATACACTAAAAATGTATGCGTTTGCAATAACATGAGAACTCAGTGAATACAAGCCAAGAAAACACCAGCCTCAAAAAATAGGCAAGCTATCATGCTGCACAAATCCTATTTACATGAGAAATTCCATTAAAATTCGTATCAACAAATAACACAATGTGAAGGTAAAAGCTGTATTTAACATTTACAAAACCTGTAAAAGCAGCACAATGTTGTCTCCTTCATATGTGCAGGTAGGAATATAGACTGCAAATAACTCAGGGAGACCACTACTACAAAGGTAACCATGGCCACCACATAGTTTGCGACATTCTTCAATTCCATCCTGCAAAATGAAGTAAATTAGTTTAATTCAAGCTTCAGAGATTAGAAGATGTTACAAAGTGAACACCGTATAATAGGATGACACCATATTATATTAATAAAAGCATATAAATTTGGACCACGTAAATGCAAGTAAGACTTTAATAGTTTGTTGTCATACATATAGATGGCATCAGGGATATAAAAAGTCAGCCATGGTGGAAATCAGTACGAGAGTTTCAGTTGACAGCCACAGCATGCGGTGGCAATAAGGGTTTTCCACGGTAGCCCATCAAGGGCACTTCAGTGGTCACGAAATTGCATTGTAAAATCGACATGGTGGAAATTGCATCACAGATCTGTGCCCCACTTTAGAAGACTTGGGTCAACCCGACCCAAAACTGGAAAAACCCTAATAAAAAAAAAAAAAAACTGTTCTGGGTTCTTTAACGTGACGCTAGCCCAATAGATTAAGAAAAAATGATAAGACACTTTCTTTCTTAAACCTCATAATTTCATCAACACCCCATAATTTTCAAAAGGAAGAAGGGTCCAGAAAAGTTCTAGATAAAAGGTTCGAAGAAAATCCGGATAAGAGGATCCAAATTGTTGAATATTCTAACAGTGAAATGCAATGAGACTGTGTAAGTGTCTGCAAACAAAAATGGAAGCCAGTGTTACTCTTGGAAGTCCTTTAGAGGAAGATGTGAACAATGTGATAGAAGAAGTTTTGGCTTGATAGACCTTACCCACTTCCCCTTTTGGGAGCCATTTTTAAGAAATTCCAGAATAGTTTGAGCCATTGTTGCCTAGGCATAAAAAGATTTCACAACCCCACGTAGGAAAAGCAAAATAATGGATGGAGTGAAGAACTTCAAATGGGCCTGAGGGAGGATGTTTAAGTGCCAAAGATAAAAGACTTTGAGGACTATGAGAGGTTAGCAAGTAGGAATGGTGTTTAAAATGTATAGATTTTGTGGAGGGTTCTTATGTTTGTTGGAAGAAACTGTTGAGGCAATACTTGAAGAGAAAGATATGGAGAAAAGAGACAAGGGTGAAGTGTTTGAGAACAAGGTGACTATGTAATTGGGAAGAAGCAGGTTTCAGTTGAGAAAGCTTGCCTCCAAGCCTGTTTTATGTCCGAGGGAAGAAGTTGCCACGGATGGACATATGTAATGACTAAATCCCAAATTGCAAGTTTCGGATAACACAATCCAGAATTTTTAAAAATAATATACTTTGGATTCATTAATCCAAAATTTTTTGGGATTCACCAATCTAGAAATTTTCCAGATTCACCAATCTAGAGTTTGAAAAATATAATATTTTATATATTTTGGGGTTGTTTAATCCAAAACTTTAAAAATATATAATATGTTCCAGATCTATTTATCCAGAATATTTCCAAAACCACCAATCCTGATACTCCAAAATACTTTTCCGCATAACTAATCTCGTGAAACACACAAGAGTAATATTGTCTTTTGTAGTAAGTATAGGGGTGCATGAAAAAACTATGGAGGTACAGAAAGAAAGAGCCAAATGAAAATGTTATGGGGTCATACAACCCAACCCAAACCCAGCCTAAAATTAAAAACGAACCTAACATTTAGTGATAAACCAAAAAAGCAGACCTGTTCTGCCACCTCCAGCAACTGGTGACACTGCCGCCACTCACCCAACGCAAAGCCTACTACCTGTTTTTCTTTTTTCAGTTGCATCCTTCGTTCCTCTCTTCTTATCCCCTTTTTCTTTTTTTTTCCTTTGATCTACTCAATACTCATTCTCTAAAAACCTGAAATCCCTCAATACTCATTATGTGAAAGAGAGGCAAAGAGAAGATTCAATTTGGTGTAGAGGATGATCTTTTTTGTCTGGTATACTTCTGCCATAACCCATTATGGCCTCTGATATATATATATATATATATATATATATATATATATATATATATATAAAGGATCTTTTTATTTGCTGACTTCCGTCACCCAATATCTATCTATAGCACTGGGTGGCATGAAGGCTGTAAGTACTACAATGCGAAAATGCAGAAACAACACAAATCCACAAAACACCATATTTCAAATAACAAAACAAAATGCATGAACAAGAAATGTAGATAGAAGTCATAAATCTGATTCAGCATGTGGGGTAACCATTACAGAATGGGAGAAAATGATGTTCAACTTGAACATACAAAGAGAAGTAAAGAATGGAGGCACTAAAATGATAATAAATTATCACAGGAAATCAGGAAAAGTGTCCAGTCGGTGTTACTAGTGAGAATCTCAAAGAACTATTGTATAACATGATCTAATCCCAGAAAAAATCCCCAAAATAAATAAATAAATGCAAACCATATTTTACATTCCATATCAAGGTGCTTAATAATCAAAGAAATTCAGCGACTAAAACATTAGTATAATGAGCATTAGTAATGAGTAATCACATACAGCAGTTGCTGAAGTAGTCAAGGACTTCAACCCTGCAGTGCATGCATGAGCCTCAGGTAATGTTGAAAAATCATTGGCTTGCAATCGTTTCATCACATCCATGTAAAGCCATTTTAACCATTCACCAACAAATCTGAAGGCAAAGGCTGAAGCTAACAAAGGGAAGAGCCTAGCTTGCTGCGTTTTATAGTCAATCACCTAGACAAAAAAAAATTTGACAGTAGAAAGTGAGACATGTTATAAAATAGATAGGAGAGATATAGCACAATACATGGAAAACATATTGACACACCAGCCCATCAACTCATTGCTCATAAAACTTATATGACGACAATGTTGCAAGCTTAGCCACACAATTATGATTTATAAATATTCATTTTAATGCCATGTCTTTCATGTCCAAGATATGTGAGAAACTCATCAACCTTCCTATTACAAATTACTAGAGAAGTATAGAACATAACATATGTATGGAATGCATAGAAGCTTTGAATCTAGAAAATCAAGATTAAAATTTTAGCACTAACTCATGTTTGATGAAATTTTGTTTTCCCCATTATCATTCACTTAGAAAGTGACAAAAATAATTTGGCCTCAAAATATATCTATGTACTCTCCACAAATTCACTTTTATGAAAAAAGACTGAAAAATCCCAGTAGCATTTATTGATTAAATAAGCATGCTGACTTAGAAAACTGCATATGGTATATACAAAGAAAGGCCTGTTACAATTTACCTGTGTCTCAAGACTTCCTTTTTTTGACCCAAACTGTCTCCGAACAGCACTATATCTTGTAGCAATGCAAACTGCTCGTGACAAAGCAGATGATGCATCATTTACAATTGTTTGTCTTACAAATACCATAGTACCATAAACTAATTGTCTTGGAACATTGGATTGTACATATTTTCCTTCTCTAGTTACCTGTGAAACCCTGGTAAATTAAAAAAGAGTCATCCCCAAAACAAAAAATATAAGAACACTACAATTTATGAGAGGACAGTACAACAGTCAGGCTACTTGATCAGTTTGCACATATCCTCCCTTGGAACTGACTTTCTCAGTTCTTAAAACAATTCCTTCATCAATCCATCTTCCAACAGAAGACACTAGGAAGAAAATGAATACTTGACTAGAATCCATTTTTGTTATTGTGATTATCATCATAATTATTTGTGGTAGTGGATGCAGACCACTAGCCGTTTATCATGGAGCCCATCTGAATTGAATACCTTAAAACACCAAGTCCCCAACTATGATTATTGGATTTTCCTCCCAGAGAGTAGGTACAATGAAACTAACCTCATTAACATTTGATTTCTTGGAATTCGTACATGGTCAAACCTTAGAACCCCATTATCCATGGAGTTATAAGCTCCATTTCCAAATTTCATTCCAATATCACCAACAGTTATCCCTGGAAGTGGTAAGTGATCATCCAAGCTCCGCAGCTGGACGATGAAACCTAAATATGGGCAATGCTGTTAATCAATTATGTCTGAATATAATAGCAGAAATTTGGGTGTTTGATGTATGTAACTACCATGCACTCCATGATCTTGACCATCAGTAATTAGTCGCGCATAAACAACAGCATGTGTTGACACTTTACCCAATCCTCCAGGCCACCACTGTTTAGATCAGCATCAAAAGTGTTACAATAATATCCAATAACTGGAAGATATTTTTTTGTTAGCCAAATAGCCATTAAAACTTAAATAAACAAATAAAAAACACTAAAAAAAAGGTACAGACTGTTATTCTCTGATTATTCATGTGAATGAATGAATAATTGAACGCATTTAGATATTCTATAGTCTCATATCATAATGAACATTTTAAAGGACCAAGAAATTCTTCCATAAACATCATTATACTCACTTTGCTGGAAGTCAATGTGGGGCTATGAATTACAAATTCGTCTGATTTGGGATCAAAGGTTGCAGTTGTTTCTAGCCCTTGAACATTAGATCCATGGCCCAGTTCAGTTTGAGCATAGCAACCAATTATTTGCATCTTATGAGCCAAAGGCAACCACTCTTGCTGCTGTTCCTCAGTTCCTTGTCCTTTGATAGCAGGAATAAACATTCCCTGCAAAAGAATTTATGCATAGATCTATCTCATGAGAACTTCCATTCATATATGTCTTTATAGGAATATATTAAGTATAAGAATGCCATTAGGACAATTAATTGAATTGTACCCAATGTAGATCCGTAAAAGCAGGTTGGTCCACAAAAGACCTGAGCATAGAAGCTTCCTCTTCTGTAAAAGCAAACAGAAACCTCCCATTTAAGACAATAACAAGATGCCAATTGCAACTAAACAAAGTATATGAGACAGACAAACCAGTAAGACGGAGATCAATGATCCTTTTCCACGCATAAACTGCTTTTCTCAAAGTGTTCTTAAATAACTCCTTCCTACCAAGCATGGGTCTATCATCCTTTCTGAACGCCTAACCAATCAAGATTTCAAACATTTCGAAAGTCAAAATCATCATTTATCACCAAACTCCTAATAAGAAAGGGTGCGCGCAACCTCACATATTGGGATTTTAAGTTCATGTGTGAAACTAACATGAACCACCAATCTAATTCTCAAACTCCATAGCCATAACAATCCAATTCTAATCGATAAACAATCTCCAAGAAAATCCAATTTCCCAATTTTGTACACATTCTCTTCACAATTCAAAGCTATTTTCTTAAGGAAGTTTAACAACTAAAATTCCGAACAACTTTTTTTCTCTGAAACAAAAGTAAACAATCAATTCCATTCCCGATGAATAACTTTGCACGACATTGAAAAGCTATTTGGATCCAATATATACAGTACATTATACCACACCAAGTTATCACATCAAGAGCAAAGAGCAACAAACACATAATCAATACAATCGCACAAAAACAATTAAAATATGCAACAATAATAAGAACAGCGACAGTGATATAATGCTGTTAGTCTCTGTTCAAATGTGCAAACATGTGAAGCTGAAGCATTATAAAAGATGTCACAGAATGAAGGAAACTGAAAAACTAGTGAGAAATTAACCGGATCGCTGGCAACGAGGCGAGCCATTTTATCAGAGACTTCAAGGGCGTGGCGAGAACCAGCCCAGACGATCTTCATCTCTTCGACATCGAATTGTGTCTTTTTCCGCTCGAACGCCAAGTGATCGACGACGCCATCCATCTTCTTCTTCTTCTCTCTGGTTGGTGAGAAACCCTAAAACGCCCTCTTCTATTAGATTTCGAATCAGGCGTGTTTGTTTAAAACACCGAGACTCAATTACTTCGCTATTATTTGGTTGGGAGAGTGAATGATATTATGAATCAAACATTTACTGATTTCCGTGCACTTTATCGGTCTAAACAGCCAAATGTCATAACTAGCGCGTCTTCTTAATTTTCTCTGTTTGTAGGAGAAGAAAAATAGTATAAACAAATTAATGAATTAATGGGCACGTGGAGGGTGACACTATTCACTTCCACTGATCCAAGACACTTTTCAATAAATTTTCTAACTTTTCTGTTTGTAGTTTGTCTTTTATTTCAAAGGATGCTTGTAAGGACGTGTTTAAAATTATAGTTTAATTATATTTTAAGTTTTTTAAATTATAGATAAATACTTTTAAAATTAAATAATTATTTGAATATCTAAAATTTAGTAAAATATTATTTTAATCTTTAAATATTAAATTTGAACGAGTAAAATAATTTCGAAAAACTTATTTTAATTTTTAAATTTATTGTTTATAAACTAAAATTATATATTTTTTAATTCATAAATATTTTTTTAATTTGAAGAATTAAATCAAAATTACTCTAAATTTTAAGAACTAAAAAATATAATTAAATCTTAAAATTATTTCTTTCTTTCAATTTTTATATACTAGTTATATTATCTTTTGATTTGTTAATTTCATGGTAAAGATGATTTATTTGTTAAAATTATTAGAGTAAAATTTAGAAAAAAGAAAAAAATCGCTTTTTAAATAATATATCTTCAGATAGAAGAAAACTCACATAACAATTTTATGTATATATATTATAATGTCTTAATGTCAAAAGAAATATTTGAATTAATTTCAACTCTTCTTAATCCAAAAATGTTCACAACACAGTTTTTAAAAAGATAGTAAATTATGCCAACAGTCATTAAAAATCTGACTTGAATTAAATTATACTTAGAAATTACTAATTTCTAAATCCTTTTCATGTGGACCATTCAACATAAAATGTACAACAAGGCTTTCCACCTATCAGATAATGTTTTTGGAAATTATAATGTTATTAAATTAATTATTTAAAAGTAATATTTTTATTTATTCACTTACTAATGCAAGCAAGACTTTGTTCCAACTAAATAAATCACAGGAATCCATTGGTTTATTTGGAGATATGATCATTGGCATCTTTAAAATGTGGAGGTGTGAAGTAAGCTTTAAATAAACTTTAAGCCGAAAAAGACTTTTAAGAACACTAACACCAAACCTGGGAAAATAACACATCTACATTAAATGGATTGTCAAACTACTCTAAAGTAAAAATAGAATTAAACACTATATTGGTGCAATTTTTTTATATAATTTAAGATTATTAATTAATGTATTGATTGCATCAATATGATAAAGATATTTGAACCTATTTTTGATATAGACTACACCATATTAAATAAATTAAACTCATGCATTAAAACATATCTAAAAAAAGTTTTTAACCAGAGTTACTTAAAAATAAAATTAAATATTTTTTTATAAGTTCTCCGGTTGAGTTGTTTAAAACTTAGTGAGAGTTACTTATTCAAATAATTTTCTTCACATTTTAAGCAATTTTCTTCACTTTTTAAACAAATCAGATGTAAAACTCACAATAAAATATTTATTTTTATTCCTGAACAATTCTTGATAACAATTCCCTTTAAAGATATTTTTAGATTTAAGGAATGAATAAAAGTGGTTTAACCTATCTTCATTCCATTTTCAAACCCTAGCAACCAGCTACAGTGTGCTCTTGATTTTCTGTCTCACTCGTTTAATACAGGAGAGACCACGGTTTGAGCAGGTAAAGCATTTAAAACATTCTAATCCAGCACTTAAAACATGAAGCACAACTTGGTACATTGTCATACTGCACAATCAAACATTAACTTTACATAACCCTGACAAATGAAATCACTGAACAAACATAAAGTTTTAGTTTAGATCCCAAGTAACTCCTAGACGCTACTGCCTACCAAGCAAATAAATAAACTAGGTTAATCACTGTGAATGGACAAAAAAAAAATTATTTAGGTTACCCCACAAACAGATGTATAACACAAGACCACATTCATGAGCCCCGCATTGATCGGTAATGCTTACATAAGAATCCCTTCTTCAGAATCGAAGGCGCATGCTTAAACTGCATGGATGGCACTGCCATTCATATTTGAGCTGCCACATGTCGGTGTTGCATGGAAAGCTGACTGTCTTGAGGGTCCTTCTTCAAGAAGTTTTAGAGACAGGGAGGAGGGACCAGAATCACCAATAGACTCCCCTAAACTCAGTTTTGATATGCCAACCAGTTCATCAACATTGATTGGGCTTTTAGAATGTACTGCAGTTGGCTTCAGCACTTCATGTGTCTCCTTCTTGGTGGGCTCTGGACTGTATCCCGACCAATAGGGCAGAGGAAACGGGAACACTGGAGAATAGTATGCAGGATATAATACTGGATAAGATGATTGTGTGTTTTCAGGCTTTGATGGGGCAGGCTCTCCATCATTTGAGTTTGTGGAATCCATGGATTCACACTCTTCATCGAGGGGAGGAGGAGCGGGCAAAGGGTTATTGCCTTCTGTTTCAGCAGGTAACTGATTGGCTGACAAGAAGTCTTGCTGCACCATTGGAGTGTCAGCTGCCTGCAAAATCACAGTAAAAAATACAAGAAAGGTAGAAAAATGAGAAGGTTTCAAGGACAAAGGGCAAGTTACATATTTCTAATAACAGAATTCGAAAAAGCATCCCATGAGAAAATGCAATGTTTATCTATTAACTACCCTACAGCAATGTTTTGAAATATGATCTAAACAAAAGCTATCGATGCACAGAAGCCAATCAAGATCCAAACTTGTCAAATCCACTGCAGAATAAAGGAAGTGGAATTTTTCATAAATTATAGACTATGGAACGCCAAGATTGTGTATGAAATTGATATTTGCTAAATTATTTGTCACAGAAGCCAGAACATGATGTAACACTATCATCAAAGCAAGAAACACATTTGGATAAAATAGTATATGCCAATGAAGTAATGAACAAATTATGCAGTATCAATTCCATGGTATGCATTTTGATAAATAAGGTTACAAACTTCATCTGCAACAATATCAAACAAGCTGGACCGTCTTTTCCGCCTGGAAACATTGCTTTGCCTGATAAAGTATTTTTGGGCATGACTGGCCACTTGTGTTGGTGTCCTTGATATAACATAGTTCCTTGCAATTCCACGCCAATCACCTTTGCCCAGCTTCTGCAATCCGAGTAAAAACATTCTATGCTCCTCCTCAGTCCACGGAACACCTGCACAAAAGAAATTGTAAATTAAACCTTGAAACAACAAAAAAAATTGTGCTTGGCCATATATGGATCACAAATTAAAATCTTGCAGGCTTCTCATCCTTTAAGACCTCTAAGCCTCATGAGAGCTAAGCTTGAAACAACAAACCTAGGTTTTACCCACTAGGCGGGATCAGTTAAATGATATCAAGTGACACCATAATGTTCTATCGTGAATCATATCTATAAACAAAGAATTGACCTCTAAGTCATTCCTAATGGTTTTACCTATAATTTTTCTTGGTCTCCCTTTCTAATCATAGGGCTATTATGTTTGTAAGATGAATCCACCAGTTCATCTTTATGTTTGTAAGATGAATCCAAATAAATCATGTAATAACATATGTTCTCCAAGTTTCACCTCTAAGGTAGGATAGATGTGCCTTTAGCTAGCCTTACATTTCATATATTCTCTTGAGTCTGCTTCAATGGAAGCCATAAGCTTCCAAAGCTTGTCTCCACTCTCTCATCCCATTTAATTCAACTCTCAAATATCCAACTAGGACGGATCATATGCACAAAGCATGCATGTGGAATCAACTATTGGATATTCTCTGCAAGCTCGTCCATTTAATTTCTAATACACTTTCATTGATACTTTATTCCATAACCAGCATGTTGCCTTTTCCATCCTTGACACATTTTACTCTGTCCAGGGCTCTAATGTGGGAGGTTAGAGAATCACAAAAATGTGAAATAAAATGTATTGAAGATAGGGTTATAGCTTAACCTAATGTGAAAATAAAAAATAATAATAAAATTCCATATTCTTTAATGCTTGCACTACACATCATTAAAGGAGGAAATAAGAAGAAGAAGAAGATTATAATAAATAGGATGATATAATAAAATAAATGAGCTTAAGTCAAGAGAAAAAGTTATGGGCTTTTAAAAGAAAAATAAAATTTGTAAAACCTAAGTCACACCATATTCTCATAGAGCACATATCTTAGAGAAAGGAAGAGAGAAGTTAAAGAAGAGGGGAAAGAAGAATGAAAAATCTAGACACACTCTTAGAGAATTGTCGATTGTCTCCAGGTACATGCACCCGCTTGTATGCTCCCCACTCCCCATATTGTATGAATCATTTCTTTCAATTGATTTAGATGTTTCCTAAAATTTATGAATGAATGTGTTTAGGGTTCCATTAGGGTTTTTGACAAATTAATGCATTATTAGTAGTTTCCATGGGATTTTATAGTTATTAATAGACTAAGATTGTATATGTGCTCTTTTTCATAATTGGAGTGTTTGGGTGACTATGAAATGCCCTTATTAGTACGATTGCTAATTGCAATGTTATTCACCTATATGAATGAATATTTTATACGTATATCTCCTAGGTGAAAGATGAATTGTATGTTTATCCTCATAGAATGACTAAGATATAATAGTTTATAAGAAAGCATGTAGAAGACTGTACATCCTCTTTGGCAAGAGAAGGATAATAACTCCTTGGGTCTCCAAATGGTAGTTCACACTCCTAGAACTAAAGGAATATAAATATACATAAGAATTTATGTTTAGAGTTAAGAATATTAAGACAAAACATCCCCTTTCACAAGAGAAGAATATTCATCTCCTTCGGTCCTCCGGGGATTATGTCATCCTTTGGTGGTCAAACAGTCTTTTAAGGTTCTTTTGACAAGGAAGGACATATAGGAAAAGCAAGAAGGACGATCCTAGAGAACAGAAGCTCAAATGTGCCAATTAGACATAAACAAGAGAAAAGAAAAGATAAAGTAATATATGCTAGGAAAGATTATAAAGCTATGGGAATGTTATGTGTTTTGGTATCATGGTTTATATATGACGAAATGTTAAGCATGTAATGTTATGACGGTTAATGCATAAAATGTATGATGTTATTGTATCCCTAGGCCACTCACTAAAACCTTTTTGCTTTATTAGTTTAAATTAAATTAAAATGTTCTAGATCAAACAAAGATTGAAGGAAAGCAAGGAGTATCATGTTTTTTATAATTGAAGTCCTCCTGCGTGGGGCATTAGTCTTTTTACTTTTAATTACAACAATATAAAGACTTACTATTAAGAATTGTAATACAACTTTGGTACCCAAGGTTGAGATGTTGAGATTTTATTTTGTAGAGTTTTTAATTGTAATTCTGCATTATACATATAAGACCGGTAATACCTGTGAGTACACAAGCTGCAGACTAAGCAAGGGATCGTAAAAGGCTCATGATAGATCTTATAACCTACTCCTACCCCTACACTCCATGTACAGCCCCAAAATAATACCTAGATGTCACAAAATGATTCACCTTCAAGAATAAGGTGCAAAATGAACCTATAGTATCTAAATCTATACCAGGTGCTTCCTTGATTTATCAAGGAAACAATTAAGAAGAAGAATATGACTTAAGAACAAGGGACCCACGCCCCACCTTCTTCTAATACGAGGTTCAAAAATATTCTATGGGTGGGTAAGAGGGCGAATAGGAACCCCGCCTAGTTAAGAACCCCCACCTAGTCAAGATATCAACCATGTTTACAGTGTGAATGAAACATATAGAACTGTATTACCGATATGGTGATCTCACATAATCCAACTATTTTATGAACAGGACATATCCTATTTGCAAATAGTAGCAAAACTTGTAAATGCCCTGCGACTTACAAGTGTCTTTTGTCACCCTATCTTCTGATATATGGGAATGATAGCATGAGCATCATTCAGTAAAAAGCAAGCATCAATGCTTGTTAAACTTAAATAAACCTCTTTGAACTAATTGGTGTCTACTTTTTTTTATTATGAACAAAAATATCCAAAAACTACAGCAGCAGTTTCCATGTAGCTGAAATAGAGAATATATGCACATAGCATAACCCCATAATTACGGTACACTTCCAAAGCAAACTAATAGTAATCCAACAGAAAACATAATAAACTTGTCTCTAGGCACATAAGATGTCTCCTAGGCCAGAAGGACTCAGAAACCTGCTCTTTTCACTGGTCAAACTAGCAAAAACTCAGACAGACAAGCTCCTTACTGATTAGAATCTTCAGCGAACCACACAAGCAACTTCTTCTCAAAGAACATTAGAGTTAGAATACAAATACACCCAATCCATTTCTGAATATTTCACAGAATCAAAACTACTCAGTCAAGCATAAATACATCCGTAGCACAAACACTCAAACAATTCAATCATGACAAAAAAAAACGACAGCCCCTCATAAAGTTAACAAGTACCTTTCTTGTCTAGTTATTTCCACAGTAACACCAGACAAAAACAGAAAGAATTTTTGACCAAATATAGCGTAATCCAAACTAAAACAAACCACACAATCAACCCAATTTAATTGACTTCACCTAACTCAATCAACCAGTGCAAAACACCACCAAAAAACATCCCAACTCCCAACCAAATTCCTAAAATCCGCATGCAATTCCCACAAATAACCCTCAAGTCCAGGAAAAAAAAGGTACTTTTTTTATAGATAAAAAAAATCGAACCCTTCTTTCTTTCACGGGAGCTAGAAGAAGAGCCGGGAACGAAGTCCTCGGAGGCGTAACCGTCGGCGGCGGTGCCGTGATCGGGGGTTTCACCAGGAGAACCCGGGTTGGTTGACCCGGCATGGAGGGTTCCGGACCCGGAACCCGCATAATGGGTGAGATTACCCATACTAGCACTCTTCCGGATCGACCCGTCAGTTAATCGGACTCCAAACAGCTTAACCCCGCGATTCGGGCAGGTCCTGGAGTTGTGCCCATTGTGGCTGCAATGCGAGCAACGCCGGGTCATGGCGTTCCAAACCGGATCCGCCGAAAGGACAGTACGAGGCTGTGGGAGCGGTTCTTGGGGATCCGAATCACGGGATCCGAGACATGAAATTGGGGAGTTTAAGGTTATTTAGTTGTGATGAGAGGGAATAGGTGCTATGTTGTGATGTGGTGTTTTGGGTTATGCAATGTTGTTTTTGTTTCGGTCTCCCTCGGCTTTCGCAGATGGGAGAGAAAGAGAGATGACCAACAGCACAACACTATCCATTTATCTTGTCCTGGATAAAGAGAAGAATTATACTGCATCGCGGCCGTATTCGTAATCGTGGTCCTTCATTGTGAACTGTTGATTTGGTACGTCGGATTTGATGTGGCGCAGATTTGGAGGCTTTGAACTCAAGATAAGATGCGTTTTTTCAATAGTTACTTATCAATTAAATCGGAGTATCAAATAGTTATGTATCCGCTTCCACACTACTTTAAATTAATGTCCTAAGGCTGTGACGCGTGTTTTAATAAAATATATATATAAATTTATAGTTTAATTAATACTTTAATTTTTATTTGTTCGTACCGCAAATATTTCTATATTCTTATTAATTATATGCATGCTGTCAAAAAAATAATTGCTTATACATAAATTATTAATTTATTTTATTAAAATTAATTAACATAAAGTTTAATTTCTATAGTGAAATATATTTTTAATAAGTTAAAAATTATACTGATTATAAATTTTTATAATTATTAAAAGTGTAATTTTTTTATGCGTGATAGGTGGTAATTAAATAATATTTAAATGTTTTTTTTATGTAACGTTCTACATTAAGAATTTGTGATGATATTTCTTAATAATGTAAACAATTAAATGTAAAAATGTTTATAGATTACAAATTTGTAATAATAATCCAAGACATTAAATTATATTACTATAACTTAAAAAGATTATTACACATAAAAAATGAATTTGATAAATTTAACAGCATTTATAATAAGACTTTAATTATCTTTGCCAAATTTTATAACTGCACAAATAGTAAAATAATTAATAAATTAATTATATTTGAATATATTATCAAAATGAATGAACTATTAAAATCTTTTAGATTAATATATTTTTTTATATGATTGGATATGTACAAGTTCTTAAACGATAAAATAGATAATATATATATATATAGCTATTTTTTATTTAAAATATTTATTTTTTTATCAACATTAAGGAAACACCTTTTAAGATTGCTTATTAGACTTTGTTTTAGACTTTTTATTACTACTGCGTCAAAGTTATATAAACAAAGTTTTTTTTATGAGAATAAGTGCATATCATATCCCACAACATATCTTTATAAAAGCCAATAAGCTGATATTAATCTGTTATCAAACACAAACAAGAAGAACAAAAGCATGTTGACAATTATCCATAAATATACAAAATTTCTTTATATAATTAAACTTCAAAAAACAACTTTAATATGTGAATGATATTAAAATTCATAATAAAAATATATTTTAATATAAAAAATATATTTTAATATAAAAAATATATTTTAAATATACATTGAATAATTTAAATTTTAACATGAAATATTTTTATTTGGTAGTAGGTTTTTTATGATATTAAACAACATTTTAAAATAACAAAAAATATCTAGTACAATTGACTAGGCCATTAAAAAAGTCATTCAAATTGGTATGAAATTGAACTGTATTTAAAACTTAAATTATTTTGAAAAACAACAGAATTGTGGCTAAATTTAGATGAGTTATAAATTATGAAACTGAAATATACGTTTTAGATAACTTAATAATTTAAACAATTTTGATAATTCAAATAGTTTAGTGAATTTGCTTTTTCAGTTGATTCAAGCAACACGTATATATTATTATTTATGGTATATATTATGAAAAAAATTAATAGGTTTGAGGTATTGTATTAAAATTTTAATCTATTTTTATTTATCTTTAAAAAATATTTAGGTGAATTAAAGAAAAAAAAAATATATATATATATATATATATAATATTTTTAACGGATAAATGGTATTTTATTCGGAAATCAAGAAGGGTACCCTTCAAAAACAAACCATGACAAAGATTTGCTTGGTCCAAAAACTATCTTAAAATAGTACCCAATAAAGTACTAAAACGATAATTACGCATATTCATTACTCCTTATCCAAACCCTTTCGCAAGTGGCATGGAATAAAATAAACACAAATTCTATCTTAACCCTTTAGAAGTAATCACGGTGATTTGAATGCAACTCAAAATAATCACAAATTGTTAATTCTTATGTAGTTATTTTTATGAGTTTTCAAAAGTAATAAATTTAAAATTCATCGTGTTCTGCTTTTTAAAAATAGTTTTTTTTTCAATTTGTAAAAATTAAAAATTTCATTTAATAACTTTTCTATAAAAATAAATTTTAAAAATTGTTTTGTTAAAAAATATTATTTTATTTATTAATAATCCCTTCTCCTACACTATATTGATAGTAGTTATATATATAACTTTTTTCATTACAGTGAAATTATTAAATTATTTATTTTTTATATAATTTTGTTGTTTTATTAAGATTTATTTCCGTTTATAATAAATTTTAATATATAATTATCAAACAACTTTTTTTCCTTTTCAAAATTGATATTTTTAACTATTTTTAAGAATTAAAAAAATCATTTATCACTTGTTACAATAAGAAACATTTTCAGTTTCGTAAGAATGTTATGACGATAATGTTTAGTTTAGTTTTTTTATAAAATTGTTTTATCGAAAAAATATTTTTTAGGATGTTTTTATTTATACATCTCAATTCATGGGTTTTATATTAAATACAAGGTTTAAACATTTTAAAACTTAGATAAAATAATGTAATAAGAATATTTATTAAATTATTTATTTTGATAAATAATTAACTTTTTGTAGTGTTATCTAATAATTATATAAAATATGTGAATTTAATTAGGTTGACTTTGAACTATAATTATAATTATAATTATAATAGAGTGTTATGTTTAAAAAAAAACAAAGAATAACTGAAATCTTATATGGGACAATGAGTATAGAAAACTATTACCAATTATGTAACTTTTTATTTTTTATTTTTTAGTTAGAATAAGAACAAATATTCATAAAATACCATATTTAATTATCAACTCTTTGGTATGAAAATTTGACAACGGATCTCATGCGGTGGTGAATGTGACGTGATGTTTTATTATTATTATATATTATAATAATATTATTGTGCAAGAAAACTTCGTAATGAAGTTTTGGTCATGCAGAGTAAAAAATTTCTTTTATATATGTACGTACGAAAGGGGGAGGAGGCATGAAATTTCGGTAAGTAGTTATCCTTCTCATCCTTCTTTTTCTTTTGTCTAAATTTCAAGCAACGAGACTCTACTCGTGCGAGGTTCTGAGTGAAACGAAAGAGAACTTGGATTAAGTAAGAAAATTTAGGTAGAAATACCACACAAAGTAAGGGAAAGTTTAATTCATTCAATATATGAAACTAAATTATTGTGTACTCTGTGAATAAGGAATAAGAGTAGAAATATGAATTATTTGAATGTCTGATTTTGAAGAATTTCTGATTTTGATGACTGTTCCTGGTTTTCCTAGTTTGAAAGTTTTGAAATTCTTGAAATTAAGGATGGATTATATGAAAAAAGTTATTATTTTTTACTTAAATTGAACATATTTCATGTTTAATTTCGATTTAGAACTAGTTTGGTTGCCTAAAACTTGGAAATTATAAATCTTGAAGAATCGACATGGTTCATGGGCGAGAGGAAGAAGAAAGGGATATGGTAGGGAATTTTAAAAAGATCAAGGGTAAAATAGTAATTTTACATTTTAGGGACATAAATGGAATTTTCAAAAATATTCAAGGATAAAATAGTCATTTTCAGGACATGGAAGGACATTTTCGAGACATGGAAGGAATTTTCAAAAATGTCTAAGGGTAAAATAATCATTTTTGGGACATGGAAGGAATTTTTTTAAATGTTCAAGGGTAAAATAGTCATTTTTGGGATATGGAAGGAATTTTCAAAAATGTCGAAGAGTAAAATAGTCATTTAGGGACATACATAGAATTTTAAGAAAAGATTAAGAGCAAAATAGTAATTTAATAATTTCAGGATGAAAAAGGAATAATAGAAAATATTTAAAGGTATAATTGGAATTTTAGAAATAAAGTAAAGGTATGTTAAGAAAAAATAATTAAAATATATAATGAAATTAGAAAGATTCAAAAGGGTGTTGTGACGTGTGTGGGTCAGACTGAGTCTAAGGGCTGATGCCCAGAATCAGTCATGAGATGTTATGTATTGGCTAGACTGAGTCGGAGGATTGGTGCCCAGAATCAGTCAAATACTATTATATTATTTACCCAAATGAGTCGTGAGGACAGGTGGTCCAGAATTCGGCATATGTGAATAATTTTTGTTGTATTTGACGGTACCCGAGGTGATACAGAGTACATTAGTGTAATAATTATATCAGAAGATTCTGAATGAGGTCCCAGACTTCACTGATTGGTCGGGTCAGGTAGACTACATTCAGTGAAGTATGGGACCTCATTCAGAATCATCCGACATAGTTATTACACTAATGTACTCTGTATAATCTCGTGTACCATTCAAACACAACAAAAATCATTCACATATGCCGAATTCTGGACCACCTGTCCTCATGACTCATTTGGGTCAATAAATAATATTTGACTGATTCTGGGCACCAACCCTCTGGCTCAGTCTAGCCAATATATAACGTCTCATGGCTGATTCCGGCATCGACCTGAGCTCGCTCGACCCACACATATCACAACACACAGTGATTCTTAAAAGCTGCTACTTTCATTCTATTATATATATATATATATATATATATATATATTATTTCAGAAATCATTAAATTTCTATTTTACCATTAATCTTTTCTTAAAATTCCATGTATGTCCCCAAACGACTATTTTACCCTTGGACATTTTCAAAAACTCCTTCCATGTCCCAA